GCGAGAGCCTCTTCGTGGAGGTGGGCCGCCCGGGGCTGGCGGCGCCCGGCGCGCTGGCCTTCGGCATCACATCCTGCGACCCCGGCGGCCTCCGGCCCGCCGAGCTGCCGGCCGATCCCGACGCGCTGCTAGACCGCAAGGAGTACTGGGTGGTGGCGCGCGCCGGACCCGTGCCGAGCGGCGGCGACGCGCTCAGCTTCACGCTGCGGCCCGGCGGCGACGTGCTCCTGGGCGTCAACGGGCGCCCGCGCGGCCGCCTCCTGTGCGTCGACACCACGCAGGCGCTCTGGGCCTTCTTCGCCGTGCGCGGCGGCGCCGCGGGTCAGCTGCGCCTCCTCGGTGAGTCCCCCGACCGCGCGTGCGCGGGGCGTAGCCCGGGGAACCGGGGGCGCCGCTTGGTAGCTGAGCCGTCGCTGAACCCCAGCCCCCCGCCCCTCCTACCCCGCCCCGTTCCCACACTTGAGCGCGCGTCAGAACATCAGAACCGCCCGGCCTCCACCTAGAGGTGCCAGTTCGGTAGGGGTGCCCCGGGACCACTTTGTCCGCAGCCGCCTAAGCACCCGCTGGGGTCAGGGCCCGGCAGGCTTTACGCAGTCGGTAAATGGTCGGTGCGATTTCTATTTCCGTTGTTAGGATTTTTTTTTACATATGTAATGCATATTAAGTACAGGAGAAAAAGTAAATACAGCTACCCTTAAAAGAGGACATAAGAAGAACAGCGTCCACAGAACATGGAATGGAGGCTTGAACCATTCTACTTTGAGATGATTCTTGCCTCCTTCATGCCAGAAATAGACACGGAGCACCACCAGCTGTGGGCCAGGCCCTGGGCTCCAGGACGGGCATGGCAGAGGACGGGATACAGACCATGCATTTGAGGAGCTCACAGACACCCAGACGGAGCGCTGCACGGCGTGATGTTTGCCTCCGCCGGGGGCTTCTCTCCCGCTTGGCGGGGTGGGGGTGGGGGTCAGGGAAGGTTCCCAGAGAGCACAGCTCCGTTTTCTGCTTCAGGAAGTAAAGTCCAAATGATAACAGAAACAAGGAACATTTCATCTGTAACCTCATTCAATTTTATCCTCCTGATGGTCGCATGAAACCAATGTCGTTATCCCGGCTACGGATAAGGAAATTGAAGCACCGAGAGGTTGAATGACTGTCCCAGTCACTTGGGGGTCAGCCATGAAGATGTTGGGCAAATCACAGACCCTCTCTGAGCCTCAGTTTCTTTCTGTGTAGAAAGGGAGTAACTGCCTGCGTCCTGGGGTTGTCCGGAGGGTGAAATGATGAGGTGCATGTAATGCTTTCAGCAGGTGCCTGCCACCTACAGCATTTTAATAAGTAGTGATAACAGTGACTGCTGTTGTTTGATTGAGGGCAGAGGAGGGGCAAGGGGGTGGTGGTTGTCGTCTGGTGGGTTTTGGGGGTTTTTTAAGGAGATCAGACATAGTCATTTCACTCTGAGGTGAGTTGCCCAAGTTCCCACTGGGGTTTGCAAGAACTAAGCCTAGAATCTTTCTCACCCCCCTCCCCAGCACCTCCAGAGGAACCAGGAGGAGCCCTTGAGTGGTCAGGAAGAGAAGGCAGGAGAAGGTAGAAAGGAGACAACTGCTTCTGGAGGCCAGGGACTTGCCCTCCTGATCCCTACCTTACAGCAGTGCCTGCACTGCATTATCTGTCCATCCATCCTGAAGTAGGGTAAGGGAAGAGGCATCTCTCTTCACCTAAGAAATAACCCGTTATTATCTGAACTAGCAGTGAGTTCGGGGAAGGAGAGTCATCCATGTGGAACACTACTAGTCAGGCATCTTGTAGTTGGCAAGTGACAAAACCCCACTCCAAGTGCCCTGAACAAAAAGGGAATTTTATGGGTACACATACCTCAAAAGTCTAGGAGTATATTGGATGGATTCAGCAACCGCTGGATCTAGGTGTTAAAGGGATGTCATCAGGATCTCGTCTCTCCATCTCAGAGCTCTGCTTTCCTCTGTGTTAGTTTTACTCTCAGGCAGGCCCCACAGCACCAGGCTTACCTCCCAATGGAATGAGCCCTTCTTTCCCAACAGTTCTAGTGGAAGTCACAGAATTAGGTCTCAATGGTATTTGTTGGGTTACATGCCCTTCCCTGAACCGCCACTGAGACCAAGGGGTGGAAGTTCTTATTGGCCTGGCCTGGATCATGTGAGTGAGGGTGAAGTAGTGCCCCCAGAAAAAATCCTGGTGCTGTTTCTGAAATAAATGGGAATGGAGGCTGGGTAGGCAAAGAACAGATGTCCACCACACATGTACAATCCCATCAGTCCTTAGCAGAGCCCTGGGAGGTGGCTCTTGTCCTCCTGTTAGACAGATGGGAAGCTAAGCTGCAAAGCAGTGAGGAGCCAAGGACGAGCACAGCAGGGCCCACCTCCTGCTGCCCCTGATGGAGTCTCTTTGGTCTCAGGCACCCTGCAGTCTAGCCCTGCAACCACGTCTCCATCAGGATCCCTCAGTGGCTCCCAGGATGACAGTGATTCCGACATGGCCTTCAGTGTCAACCAGTCCTCCTCGGCGTCTGAGTCATCCCTGGGTAAGGAAGTGCAAACCCTGGAGGGGTGGGCGTTGGCGGATGGCCCAGCTCCTTCAGCTCTGCTGGCGCCTTGCCCCTCTGCTTCCTCACCTTCCTCAGCCATACACTCAGCTGGAGGGAGGAGAAATGTCGAGATAAGCCATGCCAAAGGGTGATATTGGTGCTTGATGCCTGGGGGTGGGAGGTGGGGAATGGGGCAAAACCTGAAAGAAAAAACAAAATTGATATCTCCCAAAATTGTTCCCCCACTGGTGCTGCTCTAGAAGCTCTGCCTTCTTGGGGTTTCCCCAGCAGAGCCCACCTGAGAACCACATTATTAAGGTCTGTCCTGTTCTCCCTTCCTGCAGTGACGGCCCCCAGCTCCCCGCTGAGTCCCCCGGTGTCCCCTGTGTTCTCCCCGCCGGAGCCGGCGGGCAGCAAGAACGGCGAGTGCACGGTGTGTTTCGATGGTGAAGTGGACACAGTCATCTACACGTGTGGACATATGTGCCTGTGCCACAGCTGTGGCCTGCGGCTCAAGAGGCAGGCCCGGGCCTGCTGCCCCATCTGCCGGCGGCCCATCAAGGACGTCATTAAGATCTACAGGCCGTAGCCTGGCCCACCGACGGGCCTTGGCCAGAGCAAGGTCAGCTTTCTGAAGCCCCCTTGGCCGGGCAACCACCGTGGCCACCAGGGAGTCCAAGGGCAGCGGCCATCTCGTCTGCCACTCTCCAATGGTGGGCAAGGCGTGACACTCGTGGAGATGAGGCCCCAGAGGTCTGAGCCCAGGCGAGGGCTGCTTCTGGCTCGAAAGTGCTTTGCCCCCAAAAAGGCCGCCCCAGAGCAAGCTCAGGAACTGCCTGGCAGACCGTCCATCCCCCGGGGCCCTCAGCCGGAAGCAGTGTCCTCCACGCAACTCGCAACTGGCAATGCCGCAGTGCTTTCCCTGGGGCTGGGTGGAGTGTGTGAGAGAAGGGGAGGGAGGGAGGGAGGGAGCCAGGGAGAGAGGGAATGTGTGAGAGGATGTGTGAGAGAGATGGCACAGGTACTTATGCAGGGATCCTGGCTCTGGGAGGCTGTTTAAGGAGTGTTCAGTCTGGAGCCCAGACATGAGCCCGACTAGAAAGTGTTCCCTTTCAGGGGCTGTGACGTCAGCTGGTTTTGAATGTATGAATCCTGCACCTAAACAGACCTCCCTGGGATGGTATAGATAGAAAAGGACTCAGATTTTCTAAGGGGAGGAAAGAATAGCTCTTTGTTTACAGCTCCAAAGCAGCAGCTCCTTGGGGGGAAGGTGGGCAGAGAACATAAAAGAACAGTTTGCTTTTTTAGTTGCTAACTTGGTCTTGGAGAGGAATTTTGATGGGTGCTGCAGCCGAGAGCTCTGGGCAGTGTCCTCTCCAGAATCCTTTTCACCCCTTCTCCCCAGACAGTCTAATCATGAGCACACTGCACCTTGACTCCGTCCTAGATGCTTTCAGTCTGTAGCACCTCTCCCGTCCCCCAGGAGAAGACACACGGCAGGTTCTCTTTTCCTGGGGGAGGGAAGGAATCCCAGAGGCAAGGGACGCACCTGGAGCTGGAAAGGCCACTCCATGGCACAGACAACTCTGCACATTTTCTGTTGTGACTGGGCCTGCCGTCCACCATGGCTGTGGGCATCCCTGGGCAGCCTGGGGGCAGAGCAGGAGTGGGGAGCAGGCCTTTGCCACTGGTCTGTGTTCTGATTCTCAGCTTATCTTTCCCTGCTGATTCCTGAGAGGTTAATTTATCATTAAGATGTAGCTAATAACTGAGACATTAACTGAAAATTTTGACATTGGGACTCTCCCCCTTCCCAGGGCTATTTACTAGGTATTTCCTGGGACCCGGCCCCTGCCCCACCCCCTCACCCCTGCCTGGGCCCACCTCTGCAGACTCCCAGACCACTCCTGGGCTGATGGGCTGGCAGGCCTGCCCCTCCCTTCTGGGCCCCACCTCTGCCCTGTCTTGTCTGTACCTGTGGAGAAGTCCCTGGGCCTCTCTGTTTCCCAGTTTGTCCAAGAAGCAGCCTAGGATGTGCCCACTCCAGAGCCTTTGGGAGGACCAGCAAAACATTCTGAAAAGCCCGAGACACCTTGCAAAGAGCAGGGGTCGTTTTCATTACAAGTCCTAACCTGTTTACCTGCTGAGGAGGCAGGGAAAGGAGAACTTGTGGAGAGTTGATGCATTCACGTAGCAAGCGTTAGCTGGGTGTCAGGACCCAGGGCCCAGGGCCCAGCCGGGCCGGGCTCTCGTCAGATCAGGTCCCACAAGACCAGGCAGTCCTCGTGATGCTCCAGGTCTTGGACCAACTGCTGCTTCTCTGGCTGGAAGTCGTCACAGTTTTCTGATCTCAACTTCAGAAACCTCACTCTTGCCCTTGCAAGAACCCCTGATTGCTTATTTTTCCCTAGTGAATTTGAGAAACATGCCCACGTTTTAATTTTGTAGCAGAATTTTGGGGAGCTTCTGGAACCCTGGCGTTTGCCGAGATAGGAGCTTGAGAATCAAGGCAGCGCTCGGTGCCCCGCTGAATTTGGGCAGTGGGAGCCTTCCGTTTCCCCCATGTGCTCCACGTGGGCAATGCCCTCATGTGAGACGACTCGTCAGCCCCCGGCGTGTGGTTCTCCAGGCAGCAGTGCCCTTTACTGGATTGAGCCACTGTCACAAGGTCCAGTGGACTCAGCATCCTGGGGGAGCCAGCTCCTCTCTCCTACCCCTTGTGCTCCCTGACTGCCCCCTTGGATTCCAGCTGGGGTCATGTACAGCCACCACCAGGAAACCAATGACCAAGGGCCTGGGCCCTGGTGGACCAGGCCATGCTCCTGGTAACCTCTTACCTGAGAAGAAAGGAGCTGGTGGCCTGTTTAACTTGCTCTGCAGCTGCTATAAATAGCCTCCCTGTTTTCAGGAGGAGTTAAGGGGGTGTTTATCTTCTAAAAACCAGACATTTCCTGATGCTCTAAACTGATTTATTCAACGCTACAGAGGAGCTGCTCACGTTGCCCTCTGTGTTCTGTCTGGAGAAAGGGGCAGGAGAGGGAGCCGCTCCTTTTTATTTCACATCACCATGTGCCTGGGCACTGGGCCAGAGGGGGGCCTCCACGCACTCCCCCCAGGGGGCAGGTCTTACTACCATATCGAGGCGTGTCTAAGACACCACTGATGATAAAACACACCACTTTACGTACCACCAAGGGAAAAACGCTGCCAACTTGCACAGTCAGATGCCGCAGCTTACAATTCATCCCAATCAGAGATGATGAAATGTGAAAAAACTGCTACTTTAGAATCGGTGAAATATGGTATTAGCCCCATGTGGCAGGTGAGAGAACTGAGGTCCTGGGAGTGACGTGACTTAGGGTCACTCAGGAGGACGTGGCAGGGCTGGGATTCAAACCCAGGAGTGTCTAGTGACCCGCTCTCCACTGCGTGGCCCCAAGTCCCAGGAAGCTTGAGACTGCCTGAGTTTCTTCCCCAGAGTCCTCTGCACAGCCCCTGGCGAGACCTGGGCGCTGGCGCCTGTGCAGGGGGTCCAGCCCCAGGCCGCGGGCCCTCTGCCGCCAGCACCCTGCATGGACAAGTGTCTTTCCTTTCAGGCTCACCCGCCCCCTGCCCACCTTCTCCCAGCGGGGCTGAGCTGTGTGAGATCTTGGGTCCAACACAAGAGTGTCCCCCTTTTACACATGGGCGCCCACGGCGGGCAGCTTTGAGGAGGGGCCGAGGCCTTGTCCCTCCACCTTCCTGGGCCCCGTGACCAGCCCCCCCCCAAGCAGGACCCTGAGGGGTGGGACAGGGGAGACCAGAGGACGCCCCTCTGTTGTGGCCTTGTGCCTCTTCATCTTGAACTGCCAGGGAAATTGGGCAGTTTCCAAGTCAAGACAAGCTCCTTTTTCCAGTCCATTCCCAGAACTGGGAGTCTTCCAGGATTCAGCTCCCGGGGCAGCTGCTCCCTCACTGTAGCAACACTTGTTCACTCCTGCAACACCCACTGGGCAGCAGAGCCTGTGTCCTGGACACAGGATTGGGAACCGGGACTGAAGACAAAGCCCACAGGGAGCTCGTGGTCCACAGCAGGAAATGGACAGATGTGTAGACTGTTACTTGATCCCTGCAGTGTCGGGTCCTGTACTAGCATGCAGTAGGTACTTATCAAAGGTTTACTGAATGGATCAGCAATCAGGTTATGAGTTTTCAGGGCTTTGATAAAACACCACATAAACGTGCACACAGTCATTCAATGAACTTGCTGAGTGCCTCCTCAGGGGTGCTGGGAGGACGGAGATGAGAGGACAGTGCCCCAGCTCTGATATCAGAGGTAGAGACAGTAAGAGGGTTGAGACATTTGGGGCAGAATCCATTGGGTCTTCTTGGCTACTCTGTTGCCTCGGGAGTCTGTCTTGGTGAGTGCACAAAGACTGCTCTCCTGACCCAGAGTCTCCCATGTGCTCTGAAAAGCCGCCCCTGCGTGAGAAATGCCAGGCCCCTTGCCCTCAGTGCTCTGCTGCCACAACGGCCTTGGGCAGAACCCCCAAACGCCCCACCAATTGAGGGTCACCCTCAGGTCCTGTCGGGGAGATGTGGGGCGATGGCTGCCTGCTACTCTCAGGCCTTGGTTACCAGAAATCAATCCCCAAGTTCCAGAGAACCCCCAGTCAGTTCCCGTGGAGAACAGGCTTGCGTGAAGTCGTGGAAAATGAGAGGCAGTAAGCTCCCACTGCTTGGTCCCAGCTCTGCCCCGGCTCCGGCAGAGGGACCCCGGCTCAGGAACAGTGGCCTCCTGGCTTTCTTGGTATTTGTCTCACTGTCTTGTCCAAGTCCCTAATGAAATGACTTGTACAACAATCTGTCTGTGCCTTATGAAAGTGTCTGTGCACTTTTTATCCTTTTTAAAAGCAACTTTAAAAAGTGGGCAGGGGACTAGCAGACATGGTAGTGTTCTAGAAATCTGATAATCACTGAAACCCTTCTGCATTATGTTTTTGATGTTGGAGTGATGACGTGTACGTCCCCCACCCCACCCCCACTACCTGTGTACAGACCTTTTTAAAAATGTCTCTTCTTATTATTTTTCTGGTTCAATACTGTGACCTCCCCAATACAGTCTAATCTTTGGGGATCTGTAATAAAGGTTTTAAAACTTGGGGGGAGTGGGTTGGGAAGGGATGGCACTGGTCCTATGTGTTGTGCTTTTGTGTGTCGTGTGTTTTGATTTTCGTCTGTTTTTATCTGTTTTATATTAACATAATTTTCCTGTTTAAAAAACAAATACAACGTTGGCTTGTTAAAAAAGAAAGTCTCTTCAGAACTCAATTTTAAAAATCACAGTTGCATACACTGTTGGGGAGTGGAAGTGGGGGGTGCAAATCTCGGCCAACTTGAAACCATTTGCAAAATGTCCATAGAGCCCTGACAGGTTGATCCTTTTGCCAAGTAATTCCCGCAAAATTTTCGCAAGGAAATAATTCTAATCAAGGATAAGGTCCTTATGTGAAAGTGTTCTCTGCAGCATTATTTATAACGGTGAAAAACTAGAAGCAACCCTAACATCTAACAACCAGGGGTACTTGCCAGAACTCTTGGTTACAAATGACAGAAACCCAACTTGAACTGGCTTAAGGGGATTAAAAGGCCCAGGTAGGGGTAGTGGTTAAGTTCGAGCACTCTGCTTCAGCGGCCCAGGGGTCACAGATTCGGATCCTGGGCGAGGACCTACACACCGCTTATCAAGCCATGCGGTGGCACCGTCCCATATAAAGTAGAGGAAGATGGACACAGATGTTAGCCCAGGGCAGATCTTCCTCAGCAAAAAGAGGAGGATTGGCAACAGATGTTAACTCAGGGCTGATCTTCCTCACACACAAAAATAAATAAATAATAA